CTTCTGAAACATCATCACAAGACAATGAATCTGGAAGCTCACTGACTAATCACGTAACTCTAAGCATTCCAAATAATACCTCCATCATCTCACAACAACAAACTAGCATTGTGTGAGAGCGAAACATCGCTTTGCCAATATAACCCTGAAACCTCCACGACACACAGATCTGGTGCTTGCATAAAGTTTTCACACTTAGTTCCCATCCTCCTGTGGAGCACCGAGACACGGAAATCCCCCAAATGTGTTTGTTTTTCGGGGCAAAGTGAACTGAGAAAGATCAATAGCTCAAATGGTGACATTGTAACTTGGGTTGCCTGGCCAAGTTGAAGTCAAACATTTACCCATCTTTCCAATCGAAGATCCACGGATCTTGATGGGTCTTAAACAGCTCCGAGGTGAAGAGAACCTCCCCCAGTGTGGCTGAATCACATTCTGGGTAAATATTTCCTAGTTTGATGGAGGGCGCTGAAAAGGAAAGATTAATACTACATCAAATGAAAATACTTGATACAAATTTTTACAATGACGTGGATGGTTTTTCATGCCTTTGAGAAAAATACTGACTTTGAAAGATGTTTTCATCTGATCGCAAATGCTGTGAATAATTGTTCTCTGTGATCATCTGAAAGGTAATAGTATTGAGGAAGACGTTAACAGCTAGGTGTTACTGTAAACAATAGTAAAAACTTGTCATGCGGTAACTCTGTGTGTGTCTTGCTGACAAATGATAAGATTAGACTATTTTTTATGGACATATTTCCTTTAGTCCTGGCGTTAACATTCCAGTGTCAGGATTAACGGATCAGCATACAGACAGACAGACAGACAGACTGACTGACTGACTGACTGACTGACTGACTGACTGACTGACTGACTGACTGACTGACTGACTGACTGACTGACTGACTGACTGACTGACTGACTGACTGACTGACTGACTGACTGACAGACAGACAGACAGACAGATTACCAGTAAGTCTCAACCCAATTACAATAAGAAAATGGTAGACAACATAAGTAAAGGGGACGGGCCGCTCCACATTTAGGACACTGCGATGGAGAATAGGGTCCTATGTGTGCGAAATAGCTTTTATGTCAGAAATCACTATTTAAATCTCTAAATACTAACTTACTAGAATTGGGTGTACATTTCAGCGTATGCAGGGTTATACATCACTTCTCTGTTTACCGAACTCAAGAGGGCCTCGTTGTTTTTTCCAAACTCAGGTTATTTTACATAACCACCAGTCTGAAATGAAGTGGAGTACTTGGATATAACTGTTGGTGCCTAACTTTGGTATGGGTTACATTGTAGCTGTATGTATGACAATATCAGTATTAGTTTGAAAACAAATGAAATTGTTGTGATGCTAGTAATGACAAAGTACACATAATCACCTCATACACAGGTGAATCTGAATGTTTGAGCAATTGAGCATCAGCTGCAGAAAGCAAGGTGACATTGTTCTCTATATCAACTGTCCTTCACACCGGGCATGAGGACGCCTATCAATAATTAGATAACATAATTTTATTGAAATTTGAAATCTTCTTCAATAGGCAAATTCATAATAAATCTTTCGGATGTAGAGGGATCTTTCTGTCAAGAAGATACATTGACATAATTGGGGCGAACCGGGATTCGAACCCACAATCATAGGTTTCTGGCGTGCCCAAGGGATGCAACTCTGCACAGCGAATCACGGCGGGGCCACCCGTGCCCCCTTATTCCTCCATAAACGCAAAAAGCATTTTGAAGTCAATTCATATAGGGAGGATATTATATTTGTGTTCATGTCTTACTAGGTTTAAGACAGGAGTGTCTAAATACCGGAATTGAGGCATGAGTGTCGTAAACATAGTATGACATGAACACAAACATAATGTTCTATTAATTACCGAAGAAGATGTCTACATTACAGAGACGAATTTTAGTGTTTACCTATAAGGACAGCAAGTCGCAACAGCAGTGAAACCACAATTTGTCGAATGATGTCAACAATCTTCAGCTATGAAGTTGTTTCTAGAGTGATGTCATTCTGACCTCATGTTACAATTAGATTCAAATGACGTCCTCAATGACGTCCACAATGACATCCAGATGACAGAAACAATACACTGTTGTCTCGTGATGTGATATGATTCTTATGATCCCCAATATGTTTGCCCCCGTAGGTAAATAAAAATAAATGTCAACATTAACCACAGATTGCTTATTAATCATTAACACACAAAAAACTGCAGACAACAGTATGAATCGGTGCCATCGTTCAGTGCAATAATGCAACACAAGCCCCATCCATTCTATTATCAGACAATCAGGAAACAGCAGTTGAATCACTTGCAATTTATTGAAAGACTATTCTCACTTTGGTGAAACCCCAAAATTTTGTGTGGTGCTGACAGACCAAGACTCATATACAATCAGGGCAACCAGGTATTCGAACCATGACAAGTGATTCTTGCAAGGCAAAGGGAAACAACTCTATACAGTTTCCAACCTGTGCACTCCTGTGTATTAT